AATACAAATTAATTTGTTTTTTGTTTCATTTGTTGTTTTGGCAGTAAATTGATCAATATTATTGGCTACAATTGGGAAAAGCTTTTATTTACCTATCACTATTTCAACATATATTGAATATCTGCAAGTGTTTCATATGACATCACAACTATTATTTCGTAACCAATAATTTTGTGGCCAAGGATTTGTAATGACTGGCAACTTTGTATTACCTTGCGCTGTCTGTACCTAATTTCCTATATCTTTCTCATATACTTGTATACCTTTTTACTCGGATACAGTTAATTTTATAAACATTTGTTTAAGGACTGAATTGTAAAACAAATTTATTGATAACGAGAACCAATTTGTCCACTAAATGCAAATAAGTTGCCAGCAGTTGTGCTACAATCAAGAATATTCTCAGCAGCAAAGTTGGTTTGAGCTGACGTAACCGAGTTATTCTAATAGTTACTTCAGAGTTGAGGAAATCGGTGGCGGAGTCATTAATTATATTTTGGATTACTTTTAACTTTTGTGGTATCGAAATGTTGCAGAATAAACTATTTAAATGTAATTTTATAACATTCCATAGCTCTTATCTCTGCATAGTAAAATGAATTTCCCGGACTGAATAAGGTACGTAACCTTGATATCTTTTAACTCAGCAGTAACCTTGATATCTTTTAACTCAGCAATATCGGAGGCTACAACATTGAATTAAAAATATATATTTTAAGTTGAGGCCAAAGAAAAGTTATGTTTAATACAATATATAAACTTGATAATTAATTTAATCTGATACGTTTCCGGATGATTTATTCTAATTTGCCACTCTTGCTATATTTTGGTAGAGCACAATGTCCAATACTATTCAGTAGGTACTAATATTCTTGAATGTCCTGGAATATGCTAACCCTACACAGATTCTGTCAAAACAATTCAATTACTCACAAAGTGTGTTTTAAACAGTCAATGGCTTTTGTTTACGCGGCTTCAATCTATTGTGTATTGGAGCTGATAACAACATCACTGCTTCTGTTTGATAACTGGAATCAATATTTATTCATTTGACAATAACCCAGTTCTAGACCGAAAAGTTCAAATTATTCTTGTACATTGATGATGGCTTTTATTTACTCATATAATACCTATTGACTGTAAAATAAAAATTTGTATTAGTGTTTTACAGCAAATAAAAACAGTTTTATTTGTAACTATCATATCATATTTTGATTAAGGCCATTAGTTATAAGATTTGACTCTATTAAATATATTAATGTAAATACGAATAATGAATGAAGAATAATTTATTCCATATCTAAAATCTTGTAAATTATTGTTAATACACATACGAATAACGAATAAAAATTATTTTTTTCGATATCTAAAATCTTGTAAATTATTTTTGGTACCACAATTATCGCTACGATATGATAACTGGATTAAAAATGAAAGCAAAACATTTTTATTCTTATAAAAACCTGATCGAACTTGGGTTTTTACGTTTACTTCTAAAAAATTAAAAAGATTATTATTTTTTTTTCTAAAATACTTTTAAACTTTTATTAAGAAATAAATGTAAAACAAATTTTCTGATGGTAATTTCTTCTTACTCTATTAAAGATAGGCAATTTTATATAATGAATATTCAGATGGAAGAGCACGATTAACCGGCTTGATCAAGCTTGTTAGTTATTCATGGGCTGATATCAAAGTCCCATAAAAAGAACCCAAATAAACCTATTCGTGGGGATGAAGGTGTCGGGGGACCTACCCACCACATCAACAAGGAAGGAAATCTGTGACTGAGGAAGGAAAGTGATGACATGGGAGTTCCACAGGATGTGATCCCTCCAGCTCATCTAGGGGATCATCGAATCTCAAAGCCCCTTGATTAGCATTCAGACTCTTGCAGAAGAGGCTATCTCCTTTAACAACTCCTGGAGTGACCACTCCCCTTACGCTGCGATACTTAGTTAAATATCCACAGAACTGACGATAGCCAAGTTCCCTAACCTGACCAGATAGCTATACTCAAAGCCAAGGAGGAGCCCAGCATGCACAATTTCAAGGTTTCCGAAAACATAAAACGACTGTACCAGCTAGGTCCCTTATAAAGCTGGCATGGCCCCAATAAACGAAGAAACCTTGAATGTGTCTAAACAATTTGGTCTAATTGAGGAAAACACTACACTTAAAGAGCTAAGGGAACAGGCCAACCGTCTCAACATAAAAATAAGAGCAAACGATTACAACAGTTTTCCTTCAAACTGTAAAATATTTTCCATAGTACAAAACTTTGTCCAAAATAGTGGTATGATTCGATCTGGTTTTTTTTTGTAAAAGTTACCTCGAAGTTTAATCTAAGATCCAATATTAAGCACGTGAAAATTCTGTCTCATAGTCTGCGGTTGCGACGAAAAGGCTTAGTAAAATAAATTATACTACTGAAAAAAAATTACAAACAAGTGTGTTTTTTTGAAGAAAAAAAAACTGGCATAAAAAAGGTTTTTTTCTTTGCTTTAACTTTTGTTTTGGGAGTAAATTATTTCGTTGTTAAAAATTGTACATTGAGTGGCGACTCTGTTAATTGCGCTTTTTCGTTATCATACCTTTACTGTATCCTTCTACCATGTGTAGTTTTATTCGGGTGCATTTCATTTTATCCAAATTTCTTCAAGCCTCTATTAGTAAATTATTGATACAGTATTTATAACGAGAACCAATTTGTCCACTAAATGCAAATAAGTGTTCAGCAGTTTTGCTACAATAAGACTATTCTAGGTAGCAAAGTTGGTTTGAACTGACGTTACTGAGTTATACTAATAGTTACTTCAGAGTCTAGGAAATCGGTGGCGGAGTCATTAATTGTATTGTGGATTACTTTTACTTTTGATGTATCAAAATGTTACAAAATAAACCATTTATAATTTTTATAATATATCATATCTCTCGTATTTACTTGGCTTAACGTTTCAAATATAAATATCCGCGACTGAATAAAATGCGTAACCTTGCCTATTTTTAAGTACAAACATAATTTTGAGTTGTAAAAAAATATTTAATTTACTAACAATGACTTTACAACCAATTTAATCTGAACCTTTTTTGGATTTTTTACTTCTTCTTGCCACTCTTGCTATACTACGGTAGAGCACACCAATCCAATACTACTCAGTACTAATATTCTTGAATGTCCAGGTATAAGCTAACCCTACACAGATTCTGTCAAAACAGTTAAATTACTTAACAAAGTGTGTTTTAAACAGTCAATGGCTTTTGTTTACGCGGCTTTAATCTATTGTGTATTGAAGCTGATAACAACATCACTGCTTCTGTTTGATAACTGGAATCAATATTTATTCATTTGAAAATAACCCAGTTCTAGTCCGAAAAGTTCAAATTATTCAACAAAGTGCTTCTTTCACTCGCATGATCGCTTTTAATTACTCTATCTAAAAATTGTGAATTATTGTTTATTACACAATTATCTCTACGATATTATAACTGGATTTTAATATGAAAGCTCAACATTACACATTTATTCTTATATGAAACCTGATCGAACTTGATTTTTTTACATTTACTTCTAAATAATTAAAACAAACATTGGCATAATCAAATAGTATACAAATTATTCGATAGAAAATTATTCTTACTATATGAAATATGTGTTCTCATTTAGTTTTATTTGATTATTTATCTAGTTTCTTGTGCATTTTATTTTATTTTTGGACGTTAATTTAGCCTAACAACTGTATAATATAATAGGTAAAGAAAACATAAATGAATGTACCATGTGGAAACATTGAATACAGATATTTTAAATAATACATTTATACCATACGGTACTGCTAAACCGAATACTTTAATTAAAAATCATCATACATTGAGAAAATGGATACTTCAATGACACAAATATTGCATTTTTTAACAAATGCAATAGGACAGATGGTACGCTTAACATGGAGTCAATTGATTCTGACCCATCATAAATATTGATGAAACAAAATTCAGGAATCCATTCAGCAACAGTGTGTTGGATTGTATAAAATAGTTTGTTATTAGCATTTTATGTATAGAATACATTGTACAGATGTTGTAAAATATGTATTATATTTTGGTTTAGGTAGCCAGCTGATTATAATGCCCGACTTCAAAGCTGAAGATTGTTAGTTCGATGCCTACTTAAAGCGGTTCTAGAACCAAATGACTTCTAATTTAATTACCAATAAATAAAGCTAACTAATAATAGGGGAAAGTTAAGATAAATTAAATAAACTTTACAAAACAAAACGTAAAATTTAAAAAAACCGAATACTTTAATTAAAAATCACCATACATTGAGAAAATGGATACTTCAACGACACAAATAATGCATTTTTTAACAAATGCAATAGGACAGATGGTACGCTTAACATGGAGTCAATTGATTCTGACCCATCATAAATATTGATGAAACAAAATTCAGGGATCCATTCAGCAACAGTGTGTTGGATTGTATAAAATAATTTGTTATTAGCATTTTATGTATGGAATACATTGTACAGATGTTTAAAATATGTATTATTGTGGCTACATGGCTTTGCCATTAATTTGAATCTGCTAATTACTGTCTCAACTATACTTTGAATGTTAAAAATTATCATATGATCAGCTGACTGTTTGTAAACTTTATATTTGATTTTATTGTAGTTTTTTTCTTAATACAAAAGTGTTTCAATGTTATAATCTCTTCTTTTAATTAACTTATTTTGTGTTAGTATATTTATATTAGGCACAAGCCTTATTTGGTGACCCCTTACTGTACTTCTTATTGTCATTAATTAAATTGGACCATAATGAATAATCAAGATTCTACTCCAACTCCTAGTACACCAGAGGCTTCACAAATCTCACCAATTCAAGTGAAAATTCCACCATTTTGGACAAAAAATGTTTCACTTTGGTTTCATCAAATTGAATGTCAGTTTTCTCTCCATGGAATTTCAAAGGAAAGAACTAAATACAATTATGTAATGAGCTCACTGGACAATGAAGTTGCAAGTCACCTTTCAGATTTTATTACCAAACCTTTGTCTCAAACTCCCTACTCTGACTTAAAAGAAAGGCTCTGCTCAGAATACGAAATTTCAGAAAATGCCAAAGTAAAACAACTGACAATAGAAGTTTTTCTCGGAGATAAGAAGCCGACAACTCTTCTTCGTGAAATGAGAACCTTAGCAGGCACACAGGTAACTGACAGTTTTTTGAAAGTTATTTTTCTACAACGTCTACCTAGTCACATTCGTACTGCTCTAGCTGCTTCTCAAACCAATTCTCTTGATGACTTAGCTAAATTAGGTGACCAAATAGCTGAACTATCAGCTGTCGACAACTACGTTTGTGCTCAAGGAGATGTTGCACAATCTAGTGATCGGATTGCCAACTTAGAAAAACAAGTCAGCGAACTAACTCAGTCTATTGATGGACTTCTTAAGTTAAGTAAACGCAACTTTCCAGTCAAACATAACAACAATTACTATCCTAAAGAGAGAAATGATCAAGGTGAAATTTGCTGGTATCATAACAAATTTGGTGAAAATGCTAAAAAATGTGTTCAACCTTGTTTGTTCACACCAAAAAAGAATGCACAACAGGAAAACTTCCTGCCCCGTCACTAAATGCGGCTCAGGATGACAGGGGCTTTCAATCTCGTCGCTTATTTGTAACTAACTTACCCTGTGGTCGTAAGTTTCTCGTGGATTCTGGAGCAGACATATCTGTTTTGCCTCTCACAAACAAAGACAAATGTGCTGTAAGTAATAGACAATTATATTTTGCCATTAATTTGAATGTTAAAAATTATCATATGATCAGCTGACTGTTTGTAAACTTTATATTTGATTTTATTGTAGTTTTTTTTTTTTTTTTTTTTTTTTTTTTTTTAAGAATATGTCCAATAATTGTTTTAATTATTAAAAACTTGGAATGGAAGGATGTTGAAAAAGGATGAAAAAACAATACATCAAAATAATGACTCCATTTGGAAGATTATCAAACAAAAGAAACAACATACATAAAAAGATAAAGTAACGATTCGAAGGAAGTACCTAAGAAAGTAAGGAACATAAAAAAAGAAAGTAAGGTCGAAGGAAGTAGTAGTTATGTTATGTTTTTTCATTCTCTCTTAGTGTGTTGTCTACCAAAGTTTTTCAGGCCTTGGTATTTTTCTATTTCTTAAGTAGGACCAACAGGCCTGACAGGCAGGTTTCTCGTCAATCCTCCTTTTGTACTTGTCTTTGATTTTTTTTACAATTTGTGCATATTTTAACCTTAGGCTTCGTGGGCAGTGCTCGTACAGCTGTTGTGGTAGTCAAGGCTAGGTAGGGTACAGCGGATGAACTAACCACTCTTTGTGGGGGGGGGGGGGTTGATGTGGCGGAGCAGATGTCACTGGGTTGATGGAAGGTAGACACACAAATGTAGTGGAGGGTATAACATTGACAGGCGCCGCTGTGGTCTTGGGCAATGTGTCATCTGTGGGGGCTGAGCCTCGGGAGTCAGCGTCACCTCAAGTTCCAGTTTGACATGTCCTGGGTTGGTCTGTGTAAGAGGTGTCATCGCCCTATTGTCATGAGGATAACTAGACCAGCCTGGTACTGACTTGATCTCTCCCAGTCTAACCTCTAGCTTCTCCTGCATGGGGATCACGTTCACCTCACTCTCCTCAGGTAAGGTGACTTGTGCCAGTAGTTTCTCTGTGCTGGAGTCCACAGCTCCCCAAGCGGCGGCAAACAAGGCAGCAGCCTCCACCTCTTCTTCCTTGAGAGGGTCGTGGTACAACAGTGTATTGGTGTTGTACATACTGAACTGATCATTCTGCATCACTCCACCAGATTTGTAATGGAAACTTTGAACCTCTTGGGTTTTTCTCTATATCCCTTACAACAACTAAAAAAAAATACAGTACCTATGACAGGGAACTCCTGGCTGCATACCTATCTGTGAAGCACTTCCGTTATCTCCTTGAAGGGCGAAGTTTTGTTATATATACAGATCACAAACCTCTATCTTTTGCCTTCAATAAACCCTCTGATACATCTAGTCCAAGGCAATTGCGTCATCTAGACTTCATTGGACAGTTCACTACCGACATAAGGTATCTTCCAGGAAAACAAAACATTCCTGCTGATTTCATGTCAAGAATAAGTGCTATTGACCTACCTTCATCTATATCATTTGAACAAATTTCTGAAACTCAATCTCAAGATGCTGAACTTAAAAACCTGAAGTACTCAAACACAACTTCTTTGATATTCAAAAATATTCTACTTCCTAATGGCTCAGAGCTGTGTTGTGACACAAGTACTGGAAGGCTACGACCATTTATTCCTCAGCAGTTCAGAAAGCAGTTATTTGACTCCCTTCACAACCTGGCACATCCTGGAATCAAAGGATCTCTGGACCTTATTAAACAACGTTTTGTTTGGCCTTCCATGAATAAAGATGTCAGACTTTGGGCCAAAGCATGTGTAGCTTGCCAGAAATCAAAGGTTTGGAAACATACTACTTCTGAGATTGGAGCTTACAACAACATTAATGGACGTTTTTCTCACATTAATGTGGACATAGTTGGACCCTTGCCACCTTCTCAAGGATTTACGTACTTGTTAACTATCATAGACCGCTTTACACGATGGGTCGAGGCAACGCCTATCAAGGATATTACTGCTGGAACAGTTGCAGAAGCACTTCTTTCTACCTGGATTGCTAGATTTGGAGTTCCTCAAAACATTACTACAGATAGAGGAAGACAATTCGACTGCAATTTATTTAAGGAATTAACAAAACATCTCGGTATCCATCACATTAAAACTACAGCGTATCACCCTGAAGCTAATGGAAAGATCGAGAGATGGCACCGACATCTGAAATCTGCATTAACAGCTCAACTCACATCTAACTGGACACAGACGTTACCAATGGTTCTACTGGGACTAAGATCTTATATTATTCCAGAACACAATGTTACTGCTGCAGAAATGACACTAGGTCAGTCTATCAGACTGCCATGCGATCTTTTTCAAACCACAGAAGATACCTCAACAAATGTTACTGATTTAGTGTACAATCTGAAAAGAAAAATGAATGATCTCAAACCAATAGAAGCCAAATACCATTCTTCTGAAGGTCTTTGTTCATCCAGAATTAAGAACATCCAACCATGTTTTTGTTCGTCATGATTCATCCCGAAGACCGTTGCAAGCTGTCTATGATGGCCCTTACCAAGTGGTTTCACGATCTGACAAGTGGTTTACTATTCTTACTCCACGAGGACCTACGTCGATTTCTATTGACCGACTCAAACCGGCATTCCTCCTTCAAGATGCTATGAGCGATACGACCATTAACGTAAGAAAAAATGACATGCAATCTAGAGAAACTCAAGTAGACAAGACCACCAAAGAAAGAAATGAAGATGTTGACCTTAAAAAACACTGATTTTTACAAGATCAGGTCGTAGTGTTCATCCCCCGCATAGTTATGTTCCTCGTTGACACTGGGAGGGGAGTATGTGGCTACATGGCTTTGCCATTAATTTGAATCTGCTAATTACTGTCTCAACTATACTTTGAACGTTAAAAATTATCATATGATAAGCTGACTGTTTGTAAACTTTACATTTGATTTTATTGTAGTTTTTTTCTTAATACAAAAGTGTTTCAATGTTATAATCTCTTCTTTTCATTAACTTATTTTGTGTTAGTATATTTATATAAGGCACAAGCCTTATTATATTTTGGTTTAGGTAGCCAGCTGATTATAATGCTCGACTTCAAAGCTGAAGATTGCTAGTTCGATGCCTACTTAAAGTGGTTCTAGAACCAAATGACTTCTAATTTAATTACCAATAAATAAAGCTAACTAACAATAGGGGAAAGTTAAGATAAATTAAATAAACTTTACAGAACAAAACGTGAAATTTAAATGGAAATAAACACAAACTTCTCTATTTTCACCCCACGCTGTAAATAAAACATGTGATTGGAATTTCTTCAATTTATTTATTTATTTATTTTTGTGCTTATTTTTGAGCCTATTTAATTTTTAAAGGGATTTTGCACATTTTACAGGGAAATATCTTTCATTTGGTACCAACCGCGTGTAATTCGGTCCAGTAGTATGGTCAGGCTAGCTGTCATATGTTTTGTGAAAGTTTATTTAGTATATGAGATGTAATATTAAAATCTGTAGATATGTCTTTGAGCCATGAGGGTATCCAAATAATAAATTACTACACGAACATTTACAAGTATAATGGTTGTAGGAAGCCTGATTCATTATGACGTTGTCGTGGACAGCTGCCTCTCTGAAGTAATCTACTACATCCTACCACTTACCTTCAGAGTCAGTATAAATCACATTGTTAGTGACCTCTCTTATGTCGCTTACACCGATGTCACCTGAGTAAGTGACACTAGGGTATAACAACATCCTACCACTTACCTTCAGAGTCAGTATAAATCACATTGTTAGTGACCTCTCTTATGTCGCTTACACCGATGTCACCTGAGTAAGTGACACTAGGGTATAACAACATCCTACCACTTACCTTCAGAGTCAGTATAAATCACATTGTTAGTGACCTCTCTTATGTCGCTTACACCGATGTCACCTGAGTAAGTGACACTAGGGTATAACAACATCCTCCCACTTACCTTCAGAGTCAGTATAAATCACATTGTTAGTGACCTCTCTTATGTCGCTTACACCGATGTCAGCTGAGTAAGTGGCACTGGGGTATAACAACATCCTCCCACTTACCTTCAGAGTCAGTATAAATCACATTGTTAGTGACCTCTCTTATGTCGCTTACACCGATGTCACCTGAGTAAGTGACACTAGGGTATAACAACATCCTCCCACTTACCTTCAGAGTCAGTATAAATCACATTGTTAGTGACCTCTCTTATGTCGCTTACACCGATGTCACCTGAGTAAGTGACACTAGGGTATAACAACATCCTACCACTTACCTTCAGAGTCAGTATAAATCACATTGTTAGTGACCTCTCTTATGTCGCTTACACCGATGTCACCTGAGTAAGTGACACTAGGGTATAACAACATCCTCCCACTTACCTTCAGAGTCAGTATAAATCACATTGTTAGTGACCTCTCTTATGTCGCTTACACCGATGTCACCTGAGTAAGTGACACTAGGGTATAACAACATCCTACCACTTACCTTCAGAGTCAGTATAAATCACATTGTTAGTGACCTCTCTTATGTCGCTTACACCGATGTCACCTGAGTAAGTGACACTAGGGTATAACAACATCCTCCCACTTACCTTCAGAGTCAGTATAAATCACATTGTTAGTGACCTCTCTTATGTCGCTTACACCGATGTCACCTGAGTAAGTGACACTAGGGTATAAAAAATGTAAGTGACTTTGAAGGAAGTATTTTGTGCTTTAGTAGGTATTAACATTATGTGAGTGAAAACCAAAATATCGATTGTAAATGTATATTTTAAATACTTGTTAACATCATAAATTCAACGATTCTGGATATACTTGAGAAAATATAGGATATTTTAAGTATAAAGAATTAAAAATCTATCTATCGGGATGAATGTCTAGATAAGTAAAAATATGTGTAATGTTTTCCTACCCG